CCCTCAGGACCAATAATGAGAGTAGTGATACCAGGAGGGGAAGGGGAAGGTGAGGGGAGAAAGGAGGAACTGATTACAATGATCGACATATAACCCCCTTCCAGGGGGACAGACAACAGAAAAGCAGGTGAAGGGAGACAGTAGTCGGTGTAAGACATGAAAAAAAAAATTATACATTATTAAGGGTTTATGAGGGAGGGGAGGGGGAAAGAGGGGGAAATGAGTAGATACCAAGGTCTCAAGTGGAAAGAAAAGGTTTTGAAAATGATGATGGCAACATATGTACAAATGTGCTTGATACAATGGATGGATGGATGGATTGTGATAAGTGCTGTAAGAGCTCCTAATACAATGATTTTTAAAAAGAAATACATCTCCCAAATCCAGGTACTTACAGAACCATTCATTTTTAACTATTTATTCTTTTGCTATTCTTTGTACCCCCTTCAGCCCACTCATGATCTGTGGGGCATAGAGGGACCACTTACACTTTTCTCCTGTGGCATTCACTGGGCAGCTGCTTCCCCACTGACAGTGCATGTGTCCCTAGGAGAGGACCTCTGTAACTGCTTGAAATTAAATACAAGGGTCTTATGGTAAGCAATACATCTTGGAGGTGTGATTTTGAAAGGCTTTTATCTCTTTACTTTTTTTCCTCTTTTTTTAAGTTCTATTAAAATTGAGTGGAACAGGTCATTTTCAAAATTCTTCTTGTTAACCCCAGTACAAAAATACAGTTGATGACGGGACAAAAATGGCTCCCCCTAGGGCTTGAAGACTCCGCCTCTCCGGCAGTAACGGGGGCAAGCAGCTGACAGGTGGGGCCCAGTGCAAGCACACCACACAGGCAAGCCCAGGCAGGCAAAGAGGAAGGATGTCGCAGGAATCCGGGAAGAAGCCCAAGATTATTCCCAGCAGGAAAAATAGGCCAGTACCTTCCTTCAGCCAGGGAATCGGGCTACCGACTTACATTTACCATTTGTTTTTAAAGATTCATAAACTGTCAATAATTTTAACAGTTTTTAAAGATGCCACTGCCCTCTTTCCACCATCACGGTGAGGTGGGGGTTTGGTGGACTAAACACTTACACGTGAGGAGTAAATGTCCAAGTGGCTCTTAAAACTCAAGTTTTGTGTCAAAAGAATTCATTCCTTATGTTCAACGACACAATGACATTTGGTGGCAAGGGAGCCCCCCAACAATGAGAAAACTCCTTCTGGTGTAGGGAGAGCAAGATCTTCTGGCCGTCAATGGATCTGGGCACTTCCTCAATGTTCCCTTCCCACTGCTCTTTCCAGAACACGGACTTTGATGAAAGAAAGGATACATCCATACTACAATTCGCCTTCATGATTTTTCTCTCTGAAAGCCTTGCCTATAAGCCTCTCAGCATGCTCCATGCCCTGACTGACTTGCTCCGTACAAATGTAGAAATAATTGTAGCTGGGGTGGGTTTCGTTCTCATTGATGATTTCTGGACACACCTTGCCACTGGCATCCGGTAAAAGGGTGCGTGGAATATAAGCCCCATCAGGGCTAAAATCATCCTGGGCTCCTCTCCATCCCCCAGATCAACCATAATAAAATTAGGGGAAAGTTCTGAAATTTCTGTAGATTCTACAAATTTGG